CACACCCTGAATCCTGCTCTCCTCAAAACCTAGCTGAGCTTGTTCTTCCTCCAGGACTGACCACTCCAGTGCTGAATAGTTTCTTGTGCCCCTGAAAAACGGGAGTATTTCTTCTCTGGGCAATTAATGTAGGATGCCTTAGTTTATCAATTCTTTTAGTGAAAATCTGATTTCTGAAATACATTTTTAGCTTTTCTATTCTTCTACCTCACATATAGTAGACATTCCATAAAGATAATGGTGTGTCTGCCAATACAGAACTCCTGCTTTGTTTAGGGCCAATTCAATCCATTTTTAGTTCTGAGCCATTCTCATAGGTGACAATCAATACTATAGAGAATGAATTATTACATGGGCACTGGAATTTGAGCTTCCTGGGTTTCCACTGCCCACAGTCTCACTGACTTTGAGTTATCAAAGAAAACTCTATAGCCTGGCCAGCATGGCCCAGTGGTTGAGTGTCACCTCTGAACCAGGAGGTCACAGTTTGATTCTCAGACAGGGCACATGCCCTAGTGGTGACTCCATCCCCAGTTGGGGGTGCGCAGGAGGCAACCGATCAATGACTATTTCATCATTGATGTTTCTCTCACCCTCTTCCTTCCTCTCTCTGAAATCAGTAATGTTATATGTGTCACCTCAAATTTTTAAAAATAGCTGGCTCCCTGACCAGAATGTAATCAGTATAGGTCACTGACTTGCTGTAAAGGTACCGGAAAGCCTTTATTTCCCTCTTGGGGATATTAAATGGTGTAAAATAAGTTCAAAGTCAACCTCCATTCTTCCGTAGGCTTTGTGGGGAATATTCATCCAGTTTTGTTTCTCCTGTTCCCCCGCTTGCCTTTGAACATCTCCCTTCAACACCCACTGCTCAAGATGGGCAGAAGAGTGGACAGCAGATGTTGAAGTTAGCCCAAGTTATAACTTGTTAACACCTCTGGCATAAAGAAATCTATTACTGAAATGTAGATATGGTGTTAGGACCACAGACATTTGTCTCAGAAATCTGGTGACAATTTTTATGAATCTTGTTTGGAGTGCTTGGTACTCATTTCACTGTAGGCTTTGTTTCCTAGAGCTGCCCTAATAAAGTACCTCAAACTGTGGCTTAAACAACATGAATTTCTTCTCAGTTTTATAGGCTAGAAATTTGAAATAAAGGTGTCAGCAGGACCAAGTTTCCTCTAAGGCTCTAGGGAAGACTCCTTGCTTCCTCCAACTTCTGGTGGCCCCCGGCAGTCCTTGGTTTGTGGCAGCTTAACTCCAGTCTCTGCCTCCACCTTCACATGCCATGCCGGTTGTGTCTGTCATCTCTTCTTATAAAGACGCCAGTCACTGGACTTAGGGCCCACCCTAGATCCAGGATGATGTCACCTCAAGATCCTTAATTAAACGTACAAAAACTCTTCCCATAAAAGGTCACATTCTGACATTCTGGGTGAACATGAATTTTGGTGGGACACTACTCATCCCATTACACTATGTAAGCAACGTAATTTCTCTTTTTGATACAGTAAGGTTTTTTTTAAAAAGTCTAATTCAAATTAAGCTTAGTAAAATTGAATAATTCTCTTATTCAATCTTTTTCAAAGATTTCTTTAAAAAAGAAATCTTTAATCTTCAAAAGAAACTAAATCTAACAACAAAAAAACCCTTAGAATTGAGTCCTCCCTTTATTGACTTAAACTGATGTAAGCAAATAAGAAAAATGTCTTTTGACAGGATAGACTGGTGCTCTATTCTTTGTAATTTGTTACTTACAAAAATAAGTTCAGCTTTGTCATTGTAACAATTCAATAAATCCTCTCCTAGAAGTCAGGAGCCTTGACACAATTTTTACTATGAAAAACTTTTTTAAAAGTCCCTAAGCCATAATTTTTTAAACATTTAAAATCAAATTTTTAATAATGTGGAAGGCGAAAGTTTATAACCATCTAATCTTCAAAATGTACAGTGGAATTTACGTGGTCAAAAATCAGCTACTTGAGATAGCATATGACGACGATGTACCTGCAAATAATTTCAAACCCCAATTGATAAATATCATAGTTATTTCATGTTCAGGTAATTTTATAAATGAATCACCAAATTAAAAGACAATGTTGATAGAACTACATTTTCCACACTATAAGAACATATCCCACTTCATATATTTTAACACCCAGGGGAACGTTTTCTACATTAATGAAAACTTTATTTTAATTTTCAAGAATTCTTTCTCATGTACCAAGACTTCATGTGAAATAGCAGAAGTTATTTTTATTTTTTATATAAAAACAGTAAGTATGAACCCAATGTAGAAATCTGATGTTAGACAGCTCCTTTGGCAGAAAACATTTAATTATAAACAGGTTTTAAAATAAATACAATCCATAAGATCATAGAAAAGAAAAATAACAACCCTGTATTTAACACTAAAAATATCTCGGTACACCGACTTAATAACATTTTTATACTGTCAACAACCTGCAACACAAACTTCATTATGGTATGGCAAAAATAAAATTATTTTTAATTTAAGAGAGAGAAAAAACTTCTGAATGTATAAAATTTCACGGATAAATGCCAATATACACTATTTATATACATGTTGCATGTTACATTACTCCAAAACTACATTAGGTGAACTCAGTTGGCTGATCTCAATTTAGTGGGTGTGCAGTATTTATACTAGTTGAAGACTTATGCAGAATTAAACTTTTACAATTCCAATGACAATTTTACATGAAATATTTACACAAATATTAAAATAACTTTATTAAATATTGTTTGGGAGAGAAAAAATTTCCATATATATGCAAACATTAACTATCATCAAGAGCAGCTTTGTAAATGTTTTTTATGTTTTGTATTCTTTAAATAGATTCGTTTCTAAAAGGTAAGGTGCCATTTTATAATTTTTTATAAGTATATAATTGAATTCACATGGAAGGAAAAGAAATACTGGATGAAAAACAGAACATGAAACATTAAAGGTTAAAACTTTCTTTCCAGTTACCTGTATCTGAAATAAGATGACAGAAATTGGTTTTTCAAATACTGCTTGTTTTTCCCTATAAATGTAGACCAAGTAGTATACAGACTATGTTGTTCAGTTTCTTTGAAAAAGGAATATATTTAGAATCAAATTTCTTTAAACAGTAAATGACAAAAATTTCTAGAGCACTGTCTTCAGATGGTTTTTCAGTAGAAAGATTAAAGGCCTTCTTTAAAAAATAGAGAAATCTTGCTTCCATATAATTACCTTTTTAAAAACTAAACCTATGTCCATGGTTTTTTCCAGTCTAAATATCATTATCTGTAAGCATATGTATTTGCATTTTCTATTTTACCTAAAAAATTGGTAGATGATGCAGTAGTGTGTGAATTTTTAGGAGAGAAAACAATCCTTATTGGGTTACTACCTAAACTCCTACAGTGGAATCTATTAGCACTATAAGCTATTTTAAAATGTAAACCAGAAAAACTGTATCCATAGCTTCCCTATCAATCCACTGCCTGCTGTTATTCCACAGGCTCAGAAAGGAATGGCCAAATTTTTTGACAGCCTGGCATAGCAGTGGTACTCGAATTACCTCTGTAAAGAAGCAACATATCAATAAAAACACTTATGCTTGGCATCCATCACATCCAACTCTTAGGAATGTCTCATGGCGCAAATTCACGTCATGGTAAAAAGGAAATGCAGCGTCTCTGCACACCCGCTGCATGAAGGAAACAAATGGACCACATCTTCTTCACAGAATGGCCAGTCATTTGAAAAGGTTCAGTGGCAATTCTAAATACTAGCGACCCTTGTGGAAAAAGAAATGCTGTTCTCCAGGGAATGGAAATGTTTCAGGGGGCGCTCCTTAGCCCACTGCTGGCATGATTGGGGGACTAGCTAAATGCTTTATCACACACCTGCATTTACATGGTATTCACTTTTAATAACACAAAACATTTTTGTTCCTTCCAAATTGCTCTTGCTTCTGCAGACAATTATATGCTAATTATTACTCAACCTAATACTAAGAGCAAAACTGACAGTATTGCAAATACAACTGCAATTTAAGGAGCCAAAAGGAAATATGTTGGCAAGCTAAATGCTTGCACAATAAGATGTTCGCCTTTGAAAATAATGGTGTGTGGGAAACAGAAAAATATAGACAAAATATATTTAAAGGTTTCAGTGCTCTCACAACTAACATGACGCTTTAGGTGGTAAAGGGTGGTTTCTTTATAAACTTAGAACACTCGTATCTCATGTTGCTTATAATGTCATAAGGCTACTTATTGGGTGTCCAGATTTGTGTAACGAAATCTGAAATTAAGACAAAACTAATTGAAAGCTGCCTCTGTTCAAAAGTTTGACTTCAAACAAACTGGACTGAAAGAAAACCTTTTATGGCCTAGTAGAGTAAGATAAGTTTTTGTGCTTTATTTATTCATGGTCTGTCTTTCCGAGTTCAGAAAAAACATTTTTTTTCTTTTAATATTTTCAGATTAGGATCATAATGGTCGAATAATACACATATGAAGGCTTTCAAGAAAATGCCTGGCTGGTTTCTAAAGGAGAGGCTGCTGGTGATAATTTGTTTGCTGCTGTGCAACTGCGTGCGCTGGAACTGCCATTGGAAAGCCCGCCAGGGGTGGCAGACTGGACGTAGTGTTCTGGTAAGATGACAGATCCACAGACATTCCCATCTGCTGCGTGTACGCAGCTGTGCCAGCAGCTGATTGAAGGGCAGAGTTCTGGTTCATGTAAGTAGGATTGGAAACCGTGTCTTGTCCAGGGCTACAAACAAAATTTTAAAAAGAAAACCATGTTTACTTTGCACTGTCTAGGTTATGGTCAGAGATCAATTATCGTGAGAAAATAAAAATGCTTTTCTTTTTAAGTTTATTATTTCTGCTATTCCGATCATGATTTACTCACTCCGCCTATCCAACACTGTTAATGTAATTTTTAGATCTGGAAAGAAGTACTCAAAAAGTAAGAAATATAAGATTGTAAGGCCCACCTAATCTGAAATCATTTAAAATTATTTTGAGGAGATGCAGACTGTTTCTGACAGTGGCATTCTTGGCAGCTTCAATGAGAATAAGCCCAGCTCAAGTACACCTTCAGCCCATGTTCTCCCCTCCCCATCTCTGCAGCACAGAGAGCAGCCCTTTTCCTCGCTAGTCTTTACTCTTTCCTTCAGTAGGGCACTTTAAAGGCTGCCCCTGATAGTCGGTCTCATCTAAATCCCTACATAAATTAATGAAGGCAGGGAGAATGGTGTACTCCACATAGAACTCTGCATCTACCTGCAAGATAGTCCTGACCTATGATTTACTTATTAACAAAATTAAAAAAAAAAAAAAAAGTTGAAAAATCACACCAAATTGCAGGAGTTCTGTTTGTTCCTATAACTACATACATTTATTTTTAAATATATATAATTTTAAATTACACCAAATACACTGTTTACAGTATAGGAGGATTAATATCTACACTAATCCATAATTCTTTGTAATTCTTAGCGTTTCTTCTCCATAATTCTTAGCATTACCCAAGATAGCAAAATTTTCATTTTAACTGAACACCAATGTGAACAGGTTTAATTTCCAGATAGCTAAAATTTATACTTACGGAGTTTAAGAGTGAGGAGAAACCTTAGAGATCATCTACACAGAACTATATTGAATGCACATTTTGTGCGGCTAAGCAAAGTTAATAGAAGGCAAGATTTAAATATGATTTTCAGAATATTAGTAAGTATAAAAAATTAGACCACAAATTACAAAACACAAACACACTTCCATAGGAGTAAAAATAAAAAGGTTTCTGATTTTTAGGCATGCATACAAATAAATATGTCTGGGACTGCTCTGCTAGGCTGATTACAGCACAATGTTATGGTATATCTATGCTAAAGTATACCAAGGGCTTGGTCACTATAGGGACAATTAGCTTTACTTTGTTCCAGGGACCCAGACTATAAGCCATGGACAACCATCTCAGTATGGGTAACAAAGCTTACACCATTCTGATTTCATGGGATTATGAATGGGCAGTTCTATAACTTCATCTCAATAGTAAAAGATGGCACTAATATTACAAAGAGAAGGGTCTGTTTATTCTCATTCTGATAATCTGTGAAAATTTAATGTATACAATGTACACAGCTCCCAGAAACTTACCTTAAATATGGAGCCTGAGCAGGCTGTGTTGTCACTGAGGAATTCACATTTGGAGGCAGAGATCTCAATGGACCAATCTGATCTGGTCCTAGGCTGTAGCTTTGGGCTACAGTAACTTGGTGAAGGCTTTGACCCATGTAATTTCCACCATGTGACTGAACTGGGTATGTCTATTAACCAAAGAGAAAAAGTTGACTCACGGAACTCCCAAACATCTGCCTAACAATATATTTTAAACTTTAAAAGACTTAAATGAAATAAAATGTTATTGGTTTCACCAATCCATTCACCCTAATTTAGAAAATGGAGAGCTTCCAAATCACAGTGCCAAATCTATGGAAATTTATGATTTACTTGGTTGTTCTTTTATTTTGCAAGGGGTTGAAAGGAAGGGAGGTGGTATATTTTTAAGTAGCAAATTGGAACCCATCCAGGTTGCCTATTACTCAATAACGTGTCTTGCTGCAGAGCCACAGAAAACTAAATACTCCCGTGAAGGGAAGCCATCAGAAAGATGACCTTCACCCTCATCCCAGGATGACTTCATTTGACTCCTTCCTAACAGTGGCACAAAGGAGAATACGATGAAGAAGAGCATCAGGGCAGGGTGAAGGTCTCCCTGGCAATGTGTCCTTCACTTCCTGCCTTTGGACAGACAGGACAAAAGCAAAGAATAATTTTGTGCGTAAAGAAGATGTATCTTTAGGAAATAGCAAAACGGTCTAAGTCTCTTTGGATATTTATATATGCCCTGCTTAATTTTCAGGGTAACATCTCCTTAGGGACAGGATCTATCATCTATCTACCAAATACAGCACTCAAAACAATGCACATGTTTAATAAATATCATATAGTAACTATCATCACTCCAGTTTTAAACTAAGCTATTTTTCAAGCAAAAACCATTGACATGAAAACTTAGAATGCTAGAAATGCCAAATCAACTATGTTAAGTGCAATCCTTCACTTCCTCAGCAGACATGGAACAACTCACTGACAACAGGCTGAGACTGTGTGAAAGGACCTCTTCTGCAGTTGCGGTTTCTGGTGGCCTTCACAGACACAACTAATGGTGTGTCACTCCAAGTTTTTCTAGTGCGGAAACTTTTTTCCAAATCAATAGGAACTTGGAATACTTCAAATGCTGTCATGAATGAATAGTGTACATAGAAGTTAAGTGAGGACTCAAAATGATAGAAAGCTAACTTTTTTTTTTTTTTTTTTAGTATATTTTTATTAATTTCAGAGAGAGGAAGGGAGAGCGAGATAGACAGAAACATCAGTGATGAGAGAGTCATCAATTAGCTGCCTCCTGCACATCCCCTACTGGGCATCGAGCCCACAACTGGGTATGTGCCCTGACTGGGAATCGAACTGTGATCTCCTGGATCATACATAGGTTGATGCTCAACTGCTGAGTCATACCGGCTGGGTGAAAGCTAAGTTTTTAAATAAATGAGTTGTGCTTAACAAAATACAGACTGTAAATAGTATGCAACTAAACACAAAAACCTGACATAAGAATGACAACCCTTTCCAGACATACAAAGAAGCAAATATAATAATTCTCTTATACAATGGTGCAGACATTTCTCTTTTGTACCATTTTCACAGCAGCAGCAAGTAACTCTTTGAAAACAGAAGTAATACTGAATACACTCCGGATGTCTTTTGCACCCAGAAACCCTTTCTACCCTCATTGTAATAACTCTTCCATCATTTTCAAAAGTTCAGGGCATGGCACAGTTGATAAATGCACCTTGTCTGATGTGACAGTTACCATAGTAACTATTCTTTTTCTACTTAACAATTATGTTAAGTCATCTAGATTATGCACCCACATTCTATCTTCTCGTTTTGGTATCTCCTTTACACACTCCTTTACATACCACTTTTCATAAATTAACATGAATTTTGTTCATCAGAGCTCATACTGAATTCAACCACTAACTGGCTGAAATTCAAAAAAGGCTTCAGAATACTGGAAACTGATAAATATAAGTATTCACACATCAGCTGGGAAGCACAGGCAAGATGTAAAGTCCTGGGAAAAAATGCTGTTCACATATAGCTTACTGAACCTGCATCAATAGTCCTGCATCATATCCTCATCATACATGAATTTTTAACAATTTAAATCATGCATCTAAGAACAGGAAACATAAAGCATGATCTGAGAACAAAAGTTCATTAACTAAGCCTTTTAATAATCACTCAAGTCAAAGAAATCTTGACAAATGTTAAATCTTGCTTGTTGAATAACAGAAACATCAGTACCTCACGTGGAGGACTTTTAACATGTCCACAGTGTCCTAAATCAAAGGATTTATAACCCTATACTTACAAAAAGGATTTATATTTACTTAAAAGATTTATGCTTTATATTTACAAAGCGTAAGAACCAGAAATCCCCTCATATATTTAGTGGTCTCTTTATTATGTTAAAAATGAACTAAAATGTATTTGTGAAATATCACTATCTAATTTGTCCCGGTGAGCACTAATTGTTTAGCCAGTGTTTTTTTGACTATAAAAAATGAGTTTTATAATTTTACTCAAGAACTATAGTAATTTTAATACTATGCTTTAAAACTTTTTAAAAAATATATTTTTTTTAATTTTGAAAAATGTTCTCAAAAAACATGCTCACCTGCATTGGAAGCCCAGCTGATGAAGGTGGGTAATGTGCTGGAGGATGCAGCTTTGAATAAACTGCTTCGTTCATCAACTTGTTATATAGCTCCAGGGCTTCCAGGACTTTTACATTCAGTTCAGACAATTCTGAATGCTTCCTGTTACAGAAGAAAAGCACTTCGATACTCATCAAAGTTTTTAAGCATGTATTTAGCAACACAAATTAGTTTTTAAATTTAGCACATTTTCTATTCACATTTTAAATGGTTTATATACTGGGTGGGGCAAAAGTAGGTTTACAGTTTCTCGTATGGAAAATAATACAATAATTAATAAATAATACAAGAATAAATTCTGTGTTTCTCATACTCATAACTGTAAACCTACTTTTACCCCATTGTACAATGAAAGAATATTCACAAAGGGAAAACAGGAGGAGGAACTGTTTAATTCTTATAATAACTAGCTAATACTGACTTCATAAAACTAGGGAAAGTCCTTTCCACACCTCACAAAATGCAATCAATTCATAATTTTGGTGTTAGGAGAATTCTGTTCCATGTATTACAGATTTCTATTGGAAACTGAATTACAAGGAAGAAAAATTTCTCAATTTAGGAAGAGTCCAGGCCTTAATTAAAATCTTAATAGAAGAAAGTACTCAGGCAAGGCCCAGAGCCTGCTATGAAATACAATGTGACTGAAATAAAAACACATTCACAAACAAAATCATACATATTTTCATTTGCTTATATTCATGAAAGGATCAACTGGAAAAAAATTTTAATAATTATTCTTGAAAATGCAACTGAAAATAATGTCTATATAAACTAGTCTCTACTCGTCTCACTTGTTGATTTCTTTTGAGAAAGTGAGTGAAATGAATCCAAATAAAAGTATTTTCAAATTTGCCCAAGGAACTCCAGAGCAAATCCTTCTGACTTGGTACACTTCTGTCTACTCCCCTGGGAGTAATAAAGAACTCCCTTTGCAACAGACAAGTTCATAGAAGTTAAATGGACACTTTATCTGGCCTAAGGCATCCAACAAGCTTGTTTATTAAACATAGCTCTTTTCTATATATACACAAGAGGCTCAAGAGACAAGAGGTAGAGGCCAGCAACCAGACATGGGGCTATCAGATAAATGACCTGAACTGAGACCTATCAAGACTTGTCACCTTTCCTCTATTAGAATATTATATATGAAACAAACAAACAAACAAAAAACATCCTGTTTCCTTTCTTGCATGTGTGACTGTATGAGGCAGGTCAAACTCTATTTTCAGAAGTATCAGTTGTAAATCACACAGGAAGCTTCAGAAACTGGTGTCCATGCTAACAGAAGTATGGCTAAGAATTAACCACGGGCCTCTTTTCCAGTTTGATGATTCACTGACCATTAACATCACTGCACCGAAACCAAATAGCAGATGCATAAGGAGATAGCTAATGCTTTTCTCAAAGTAAGAACAATAAAATATGATGAGACTACCACCATCATTTCGTTAACTGCAACAGGGATTTATTTTTCACTTCTGTAGAAAATACAAAGAATATATTTAAAATGCCTGATGGAAAAAAGATGATAATCTTTAGTGACTAGAAAAAAATCTTGCTGCTACTACCCTTCTCTGGTAAGGCAGATAAGTAAAGTAGTTCCTGTTCTTTTTATGCTGTTTTATATAGCAGTTCAATAAACAGAATCTAAAAAGAGGTGACTATGAAACACTAAAGCCTTATGCTCATCTCGTCTTCCATTCACTATAGCTTCTCCCCCACTTCAGAAACAAAGCTCTGAGGAACAGAAGGGACCAAAACTATGGAAAAGCTCAATGCCTGACAGTCTATCCTTTGGTGCTGCTGCTATTTCTAAGAAAGAGTAAAACTAGGTGGGATAATGGAATTAAAAGCACTGCAGAAATACAGAAATAAGAGGGAGTAAAATGAGAAGAGAAGATGTGCTCATTGGATTCAGCTTCACAAATAAAAGGGAAATTTCATTTGAAAGTTTTACAAATACTAATTCTCATCACATAACAAGAAAATGCTTGCCTAAGACCCTTGCTCTCATTTTGTACTCTATACAAACCTATTCTGCACTGCCCATTATCCCTCAGTTCCAGCCCAAGGAAGAAAATGAAGACTGGCCCCATAAGAGCAAGGGTCTGTGCTTCTACATAGACTCTATTGCCATGAAAAAATATGTGTTACCAAAATAACAAGTATCACCTTGCTATTAGTTTGTAAGAGTTGGAGAAAATGAGAATTTCAACAGACTGAACAAATCCACAAAAACGCCCTAGTTTAAAATTCTGCCAAAAACAATTGTTATTCCCTGCACAAAGAATCTCACCTGTCAATCTCTTCAAGTTTTTCATCTATCATTGGGCCCATCTGTTGGCAGATATCTGTAAATATAAACATATTTTAAAATCTTTTAACTTAAACCAGTTTAAGTAAATTTCAACAGTGTTTAACAGAGCACCACTATGCACCATCATGCACAATACAAAGAGAATTAAGTTTATGCTAGAGAAAGGACTACAAAAGACCTAATTTTAACATTAGTATCATGTGACCAAAGGCAGAGTCAAAAAACAGAAATCACACTTCGTTCTCTGAAAGTACTAATTTTTACAGACTGTGAAATTTGGAGTTATCTCAAAATCTTAAAAATACTGAGGAAACTATTATTAGCTAAGTAAAATGAACTTGAGTCAGCATATAAAATATGTAATTATGAACAGATATGAACATTTTTCATTTATTTGAGCCATTTCAAAATTAAACCCGTGTATTTCCAAATGTATACACTGATACAATGAACCCCACAATATTCCATATCCATAACTAGACTTTCTTCTATTAAAAGATTTAAAAAGATTTATTCATTTACCACAGATTTTTCTCCCAAAGGATTGTTTTTTAAAGGCATAAAAACATTTGTTTTAATTGTTTCAATTTTCTTGAGGACTAAATAGACATCAGTATGCATCAAATAACTATATAACAAAGTTAACATAAATCATGTATAATTTTGACCTTTAAAATTATGATACAAGATAATTAAAACAGGAATAAGAATTTCTAATATTTTTATTCAATTAATTTAATGGGCTGTTATTTCTTATTCTGTCCATTTTTAGACTCCAAATCTCCAGCCAGTTCATTAGTGGGCTTCCTTTTTGAACAGGCTAGGCAGATTTGCAACAATTTCCAAGTAATATGTTTACTACATAACTATACTATTCTGTTTCCAACTAGAGATTTCTAATTCCTACAGACACACACAGACAGAAGAAATGTAAGACGTTATAAACCGCTAAAACATTAAAGGACGTTAAAACAGTCCCTAATATTCACTAAGTACCTTCTAAGTCCAAGAGGTCTTGGGAGTCTGGCTTGGAATCAGTTGGATCTATACTCTGAAGTACCTGCAGGGCTCTATCCATCTTTTCCTAAAAAATAATAGGACACTTTAAAAATTCACCAGAGTTTTAATTTCAATGAATATAGAAATTACTCTTTCCAAGCATTTTCAAGGACAATACATTTTAAAAGTCTTGATAATTTAACTATTAAACAAAAGAAGGACTCTACCTCATCTATATAAACAGGCTCGGGCTCTGATTTCTTAATTTCTTCCTCCTCATCATCAATTACATTCAATTTCTCCACAGCAGCTATGAAAACAAAGTAAACTTTAAGTTCCTCAACATTTACTTTGGTATTTTAGTTACTAATTTATAGGAGTCTGTAATTATCCATAATAAAAAAAGGACAATGAACATAATTAACTGGTGAACAAAATAGGTCTGGAGGCATGGAATAGGTTAACATACTGACATATCTCAGAGTGTGGAGGGGGTGGGAAGAGATTAACCAAAGAACTTATATGCATATATGCATAACCAAGAGACCCAGACAATAGTGCGGTGAAGGCCTGGGGGGAGGGGCGGGGGGAAATTGGGGGACATCTGTTAATATTGTCAACAATAAAAAAAAAGGAAGCCCTTTGAATAGTACAGTAATCGCATTTCATAATCAATATATGTTATTACATATGTTCAATCATTGATGCCACAAATATTTATTTAACCCTATGTGCCAGGCATTGTTCTAGCCACTGGAAATACACCAGAGAGTAAAACAGACAAGAATACCTGCCCTGATGGCACTTATATTCTAATGGAATAAGCAAACAATATTAATGGGAACTGTCACTACAGGCATTTTCTGGAAAATGAGTAATACTACTAGAGTGAATAAATATAGAAGACAGAAGGGTATTATCTAGTTAGCTAATGTCAGTTAAATCTATGAGCTTCTTCTACACTCTTTCCTTGCTATAAAGAAGTATTTCCTATGTGAACAAAAATAGACTTGATTGCCACCTAACATTGATAATAGTTAAAGAACACAAAACAAAAAAACTTTCATATAGAGAAGGTTGAAAAATTTACACTTATACACACCCCAAAAGTATTTAAGTGATAACTGAAGTATTGCTACAATGTACTATATTTTAATACAGTAAATTTGGTAAAAAGAAAATTACAATAAAACTCTATATAACCAAAGGATCTTTAAGTCTCCAGTTAGCCACTTATTTCAAATATTTGGCTAACTTTCAAATATGTCCTAAGGAGCAGAGTTCAGCATAACATGAAAATATACTGAAAACTCACAATACTTTTTACTTTTAAAACTGCAGCTCAATCTCTCAGCCTATGCCATGGAGAAATTGTTGTATTGGATTCCCTGAGCATGGCCTATCAAGTAATTAAATATGGTGTCTCCAATTTTCCTATCAATTTAGAGCCAGACCAGAAGAACAGAAAGTATAAATAGAGGCAAAGTATTCAGTATTCACATGAGTATTCGTCTCCCTCAACTTCATTTTAACTGAATGTGAGCACTCCACCATAACAAAGAGGATGTCATACAGCAGTGATTTTCAACTGGTGTGCTGCAAGAATTTTAGTAATTAGCTTATGTGTGCCATGAAATGAAAAAAGTTGCAAATCACTGTTATATACAATGATAGAGCTTTCAATTTAACTTCTCTAGAACTGGTAAGGACTAGCACTGATGTGTCCTGCAATGTGTCAGTATAAGGTCAGACTGGCTGACTTTAGAATCCCAGCTCTATTACTTACTAGCCACATAAGCCCTCAGCCTGTTTCCTTGTCTGTAAAATGGGGTAACAAAAGTACCTATGTCACAGACTTGTGAGGATTAAATAAAATAGTGTAATCAAAGGACTTAGCAAAATGCCTGACACATGACTGCTCAACCACCACTGAGCTCTTTTATTTCTGATCACCATCATCATTAGTATTAGTAGCTGCTCTTTACACTCAGCTCCTCTCACCTCCCTGCCTGCATAACAAGTGGAAGCTTTCTCTGCAAGGTTGACAGCAGCTGAGGGGAACTGTCTGTGGCTACAAAACTGAGTAAGGGAACCTACTATCTTGATTACATTAGTTTATTATGTCTGGAGTGCCCTAGGATCAAATCAAGACAAGGAAAACTCTCTCCTAACCCCTGTAATCTCACTTGGCACTTGCTAACCAGCTCCTAGCCCAGGGGTGGGGAATGTCCGCCCCGCAAGCCGTATTCGGCCTGAGAAATAATTTGGTCTGGTCCTGCCAAGGCAACCACAGGCAGGACTCAAAATTCAATAAATCTAGGAGTTTTTTTCATAGCTAATTTTTAAGCTGATAATTTTGTATGCCTGCAAAATGATGTTATAAATATCCAAATGGCCCTTGGCAGAAAAAAGGTTCCCCACTGCTGCGTAGCCCTACTGCCCCTCCTTTGATACTGTGGTTCAATGATGAATAAAACCAGTATTCTTTGTTCTGAACAGACACAAACTGCCTCTTAAACCATAAAGAGGTTTATTTAAATATTTACATGATCACAGATTATTTTATGCCTTAGAGGTCACTATGTATGGTAACTCTCAAAGGATTTAATTGATATCATGATAAGGAAATAATGCTTGGAATTGACATGGGTAAGTCAACCCCTTAATGTGGTAAGTAGGTTAAACTGTATTGCCTATAAGTGTTTTAAAACAAGAGTTAAATGCCAATTTACTTTATATTCAAAATTGAACCATAAAATTTAAGTGCAAAAAACTTGAATAAACTTAACCTTCCCTAAGGTTTAACTTACCTGCCTCAGACTCCACATTTAAATTACTTGTTACAAAATTAGATGGGAAGAGTCCTATTCCTCTGTGATTTTCTCCTTTCCACCAGTTGGCATCACTAAAAGTACAGTGCAAAAATGTCATTTGTTATTACACATTTTAGTGCATTTGTGTCAAGATGAATTAAAGTAAAAATTTAGTCTTTTTGAAAAGTTCTAGTTCATATCCAACTATATTTAAAAGTAGTTCTTAAACTTAATAAAAGATATAGAAAAGCACAAATAAAACAAATCCATATTCCATACTTATATTTAGAACTAATCAGTAATTGCTCATATTTGAGTCTAGGCTTTTAAAATAATAAAAAGATTATATATAACACTGAAGTCCCCTTTATCAATAACCCCGCATCTATCCTACCACACCACCGCCATAAAGCTGGTATATAGCCTTCCTGCCAGTATATTTTACTCATTTACAAATATCTTTAAGCCAACTCTGTAGACATAGATGTTATTCGTTATAGATCTTTTTAATTTTATACGTTAATACCTTCAGATTTCTTATTCAGATGTTTATCCTTTTTAAATCAAAGTACCATCATATAAAGATGGCATATTTGATGTACTAATTCCCATGCAGATGGACATTATAAAGAGTGGGGTGATGATCCCTCTAGATTCTGGGGCACGCATGCAACAATTCTCTAGCCTTATGCACAAACATGGACTTGCTGGGCCACAGAATATAAGCATTTCCTATTTTACTAGATATTGCCAAATGTTTCCTAAAGGGGTTATGGCAATTCACCATCCTCCTTCCCTAAGCAGCATGTGTGACTGTCATTTCCCCTCACGCATGTTAACTGTCTAAGCAACACTTGATATTCAGGAGAGAAATCATATCTGCTGTGCTCATTTGCACTTCCCAAGTACCCACGTGTTTGCTGGCCTTTCAGATTGCCTCTTCTATAAACTGCTTATTCAGGTCTTCTGTCCATTTTCCCCCCCACTGGGTCTTCTGTCTTATTTCATGGATCTGTAGTTGTTCTTTCTGTATTCTGGATAGCAATTGTTTGTCTGAACTTCGTTATGAAAATAACTTCTCTCAAACTGTCACTTGTCTTTTAACATATGTTTATGGTTTCTTTTATTCCACCATGTTTTTTTGTTCCATGTTATCACATTTAACAATCATTTGTTTGTTTTTATGGCTTACACTTTTAAAGAAATTTTTATCCTTGAATTCCTAAATCTCTTCTATATACTTGAATTTAATAGTTTTAGTTTTCTATTTTATCCCTCTCCCATGTTTAGATCTTTAATTCATCTGGAATGAAATTTTATGTACTCTGTGAAGGTGAATCAAATTTTATTTGTATTGGCTTGGTCAGTGTGGTTCAGTGGTTGAGCATCAACCATGAACCAGGAGGTCACAGTTTGATTCCCGGTCAGGGCACATGCCCAGGTTGCAGGCTCCATCCCTAGTCGGGGGCATGCAGGAGGCAGCCAATCAATGATTCTCATCACTGATGTTTCTCTCTCTCTCTCCCTCACTTCCTCCCTCTAAAATCAATAAAAAATAAATTTTATTTGTATCGTGTAAAGAGCCATTCACTCCTGCAAAATTTACTTAATAATATATCATTTTTTTGTTTTACTGGTTTATGATATCCTATCTTTCAAGCAGTAAGCTGCTATCTGTTCATGAATCTATTTCTGGTTCCATTCTGTTGCCACAGTCTATATATTTATTTCCTACAGCTTATTAATATGCCTTGATACCTGGCAGGGAGAGGACCCTCTCTGTTATTGTATACCTTCACATTTCTACATTAATATTAAAATATTTTCAAGTTCTCTATAAAAAATTCTGTTGGGATTTTAATTGGAAATGCACTGAATTTATGTTCTTACAGGAAGAATAAAATCGATAATATTAGTTTCTTCACCATGAACCCAGTATACCCCTCCATTTATATTTATAAATATATCACATGTATTTATATTCCTTCATATCTTTCAAAGAATTTTATATAATTTTCTCCATAAAGGAATTACACATCTTTGTTACTATTGAGAATGCCATTTCTTCTATTACATTTTCTAAATAGTAGTTGTTACAGTAAAGCATACCACTGATTTTATATGTAAAGCTTGTATCCAACAACCCTGATGAACTCTTACCAGTTTTAATAGTTTGTCCATTGATTCTCTTGAACATTCTATATGGACAATCATAAAATCTGGAAATAATAAGTTTACCTATTCCTTTTCAAAATTTGACTTATTGAATAGGCATTCTTAAAGATGAAGCTTAAGGATAAATTAACTTCTATGCTTCTGAAACATTTTCATTTAAAAAATACAACTAAGAGAATTTACTAAGTCATAATTCACCTGCTGGTGGCTCATGTTCCTGAGTGAGAATAATGCTAGCCAATCAGATTACAGATTTCTGTCTCCACAAAGGTTTTGCTTATTGTGAAGGTCATCAGAGATAAGAGTCTTTGTTTGTTTAATTTTAGGGAACCCACTGGTGCTTTGATTTTAATAAAAATTAGCTTTGATGGTAAAAAAAAAAAAAAAAAAAAAGTACCACAAAGATATGGAAGAACTATATTTCACCCAAATTCTTAAAACCAGAAAATAACTGATATATTGACAGTTTTAAGGTATCATATCTGCTAATGTCCATAGAGGATGAGAAATTCTCCCTCTTATTCTCACATACTTTAAGTTGAACTTCTCATTTTAAAAAGGGAAAGTTGAACTCAGAGGAATTTTTACATAAAACCAGAGAACCCATGCCTGTAAAACTGATGCATGAATTTTACCTGAACGTATTAACAGCTGTATGTGTAGTCTTCCTTAGTGGTCCTACCAATGTAGGATAATTTCCCTCTCATCCACCATTGCAACCTTCTTGATGAAGTGAAGTATAAAAGTAAGCAAACCAACCAAATGCCATGTCAAAGAACGATGACTCCTTCCCAGCCCTAATCCAGCTCTATTCTCTCCATTGGCAAACAGTTGATTTGTTAATGGCACAAAATATTGTTCAATTTTAAATTCCTAAATTAAGGTAATTTGGCACTGTAGATTTACAATAAACCATTTGACAATTAAGGAAAATTTTATTGCAGCATTTATATTTACAGCTTTTTATGTTGAGAGTAAGTCACAGCTGAGTGAAAAATGATGCAAGTGCAAAAGACAAACTTTACCTTCAAAGAACTGATTATTAAGCTAACACTTACGAAAACCCACCAAGGAGGGGATAGTGACTTTGGGATAAGCACTGAAGTTACAAAGATAAGGGAAAAAAAAAAAAAAAAGAAACAGTTCCTGCCCTGAAAAAATTCAAAATCTAGTACAGTATTTTCCAACTCTCCCCTACCAACTAAGAACATGTTACCTTGCTTTACCTTCTGGGGTTTGTTTTCTCCTTCCCCCTTCCTCCCACCCAGGGAAATGCTGACCCTCTTAAGAATCCACTCATCTAGCAGGAGAGACATATGTAAAGAATTATAATACAATATGAGAAATGCTATCACTTATATTCAGGTAGCTATAGCAGCACCAAGACAGAACTCCTAACTTTCAGGTCAAAGCAGAGAAGGGTTTAAAGGCTCCTCAAAGGATATAAAATCTGACATAGGTTTTTAAGGTTAAGTAGGCATTCACCAGGCGGAAAAGGAAATGAGGGCTGTGGAAATAAAAATGCCTTTTCCATTATGGATAAGCAAGAAAATAAAAGTACAAAGTAAGACACTCTGCACACTGAGTTAAACAAAAAACAAAGTCATCTTGTCTCGATGTAAACATCTTCACCTATGAAATCTTTGGTAAATTCTACTTTACTCAAAAAAAAAAGTCATCTTGTCTCATTTTAGGCCTCAAAATAAATGAAAACCTAGCCTCTCCTTTAAGCTACTGACTTCTTAACTAAAACAACTTATTTGCTGACTTTTACAAACGACAATGGCTAAAGAGAAGTGATGTCCTTTATGGATATGATAATCATGTGAGAAAAATGCTATTTCTGCCACAAACATACAAATAGTAAACCTGGAAACTTGGTAATTTTGTGAGGATCTTTTCTTAAATTACCTATTTTATGTTTTAATTTGGGGAACCAATCCTTAAGCCTGGACTCCCTTGTAAACCTTCCTTGCAAGTCAAGTTCCTTTTCTAAATGTGTTTGCTTCCTTTGACAGGGCTTTCCAGGCAGAGAGAACCAAATGTACAGTGCCACAAAAGCCTAATCACAACATGGCATTTTGGAACTGCAAGAATTCCACTTAATTATTTGAAATGGTACATACAGAACAAAAAAGGAGTGGTGAGATAAAGCTAAAAATGGAGAAAGTAAAAAGCTTTTTGGTATACTGTTAATAAGAAATGTGTGCCTTTTCTATCAGCTCTTTCTTAAATTGAAGTCCAAGAATGTATTTTCAAGGCACTTTTTTAAGTTCTAATTATGAAATTTTTAATTTTATGCTTTCATTTCTATAGCAATATAAATATGAATACAGTCATATTCTGGATCATTTAGATGACCTTCTTTTAACCGAAGATTGCCACTTAACTTTAGTAACTAAGCTTGCCTTTGTGTTTAAAATCTTGCAGTGATAAGCAGTCACCCAGAATGACACCATTTAACCTATACATGTCGATGAGCATGTTGATGGCAATTTTAAGACTGGAGTCTCTCCTATATTCAAAGCGAGGGCAATCAACTTACGCATTCCATCATATTCATGTTGAATTCTCTTAGCAGTTACAAAGAAAAAAGTTCTTTTTTGCAGTGGTAAGTCTCAACTGAAAACAGTTTTATGATTCTAAGTAATTTAATGAATGTGTGCTTTAATTAGACATCAGTGAAAATAACACATGCCGCACAATAACATAACCCCTTACTCAGTGCAAGCCTATAGACTTTAATAGGTATACAATCCCACACAAACACCAAATGATGTCACAGGATAGAACATGTATGAAAGACTCACACAATTACAAAAGAAAAACTCAGAGATTCAGTTATCACAGCACAGGGTATTACAGATGTTTGGAGATAGCGATGAAGTATCTGTGCCATTGATCAGGACTTTATTTACTTGTGAGCAGCAATTTATTTTAGAAAATTTTCTCATTACATAAAATGCTCAAAATTTGAATCTCAGAGCAAAAACTCCTTTTTAGATTTGTTTCTATTTATTTTTTAACTGTCTTTAATTCTGTAGTTGTATTAAGAGTATCAGAAGTGTAAATGTAAGCTATTTTGTAAATATTCTAACTAAAACTACACTCAGAAGCATGACCTTTCCGATTGTCAGTGTTCAGAGCCCACACTATCTCTTCACCTTCGTATCTGTTTACTCTCTTTCAGGGATCATGTGCTCCATTCCCAATGGTTATTTTTATAAAAGGAAAAAACTTCTGTGAACACAGTGTTATCTTTACTGCCAAAGAGACCTTTGTTTTCCTATTCCCAATTATTGCAAATTTTTTCCTGTTCTGTCAAAATCAATCAAAGTTCACCTGAAACGGACCCTGGATAAGTCTTCTTTCCCAGATGCTTGCACCACATGCAAATCTGCTCTCTTTTGAACCCCAACATTACCTCTTTCATGGCATTCACATTCTGCATTCCATACAATTACCTGTAATTTTAACTCCCTAACTTTACTCTAGGTTTTAGAAGACAGAACTGTGTCCTCATTCATTTTTTATTACAAACAGAGCCTATTAATAACAGTTTCTCAATACTTACTGCAGCAGAGTAAAACCATTTTTATGTATTTAGCCATTTAAAAATAAGCTACACTAACATATCCTTACTAAGCTATTTATTATGGATACCAAATACATTTGCAAATCTCTGTTCATAGCAACAAGCTGTTAGGTCTCACTCTTGTTAAGTTTCACCAACTTCTTTTAAAAGCAAAGACTAGAATTAGGTCCAATATAGATAGATCTATTCTTTTTTATTTTATTTTTCAATATCTTTATTGATTTCAGAGAGAGGAAGGGAGAGAGAGAAAGAAACATCAATGATGAGAGTCACTGATCAGCTGCCTCCTGCACGCCCCCTGCTGGGGATCAAGCTCGCAACCCGGGCACGTGCCCTGACTGGGAATCAAACCTCAATCTCCTGGATCCTAGGTGGATGCTCAACCACTGAGCCACACCTGACCGGGCTAGATCTATTCTTTATTGCAACTTTAAATGATAGAGAAGTTGTGAGGGAAAGTTGAATAATAAATTAAGAATTAGGGAAGAGCCGAGCATAGCTTTTGGTTGCTTTGATCAAAAGTAATACAGCTGTATGTTTTCTGAAAGTTTATTTGCCAGTAATTTTAGTATGCAAAATTCCCACTGTAAATGCATTCAGATGACTGAATATTTATGTTTCCCAACTGTGATAATCAACAATATCATTTAATATATCTTTTATTCAAGATATAAGGTAAAACCAAATTTAATAAAACAAGAAAATCACATTATCTAATCTAGCTTTTGTAAGTTTTATTTTAGGAAAAACAAGATATGAACAGGTCCTACGATACACCAAAGTCAAAGAGCTGGGTGTCCAGGGTTCTAAAGTAAGGATATGATCCTTAACTTCAAAATATTCTAGAAATAAAGATTTAAAACATACCTGTCATCCAAAACAATAATAATTTCACCATGTTTAAAGGTGAGTTCATTGTCCTCAACGGCTTCAAAATCATACAAAGCTCTCACTTTCCTTGCAACTTTATTATTTAACTGAACTTCTGCAGATGGATATAAAGATTTTGTTTCTGTGTGCTGCTGCTTCTGCTCTTGCAACGATAATTCAATAGCTAGTTTGAAAAATTAAAATACAAAAGAAAGGTAGCCAGAATTAATTCTGATTTTTTAAAGTTTAAAAAGAAATATTAGATAATGTAATATTTAGTAAGAATAAATCAATTCAATATTTCATCTAATTAAACATTAAGCAGTTAACTTTCTTGAGGGGCAGAGAATCATGACATTTTTTAAAATAAAGTTTTTGCTCATTCCTGATTATAACAGTCTGTCATATACAGCAGCTATTATTTTTATGGCAAACAGATTGTGACATTATAAAATGGGTAGCTTTCCATATAGGACAAGCCGTGAACATATATTTCTGTGCTTGACTCATAACTTTGGCATTAAAGAAAGGGTGAAATGTAAGTTTTCCAAAGGTAGAACATTAAATACATATTATTGACAAAGATGATAAATGAATCTTCTTATGTCAATTTGTTTTCCTTACTTTTCAAACCCTACTAGTGTCTAGATTTGAGGTAAAATACTTAAAGTATACCCAGCTTTATTATAATTTTTATTTCAAGAAATTGTTCCGGCAAGGATGTTTCCAATAACACTAAATTACACGTTTGATGATTTACCTTTAGCTATGTCTTCATCTTCTTTGTTTTTGTTCGATGACGTACCATTCTTGGCAGCAGCTGAGACAGTCTGTAAGTGAACAAGTAAAATAAGCACAACTATCCTTTCAAAGAAAACATAAGCTCTATAATTACTCGCACATGCTAATTTTAAAAAAAAAAGGATATTAACTATTGAGTTTCATTTAAAAGTAGAGTTTTTATGATAATTGTAGGCAGTTGTTTCCAAATACTAAAGTAAAACATCAGAATTCTCAAGAAAACATAAACTCAAAAAGGACACAAGCTAGCTTATATATTGCATAAGTCTTAGTATCTGATACGGAGCTTGGCATACAGACAGTACTTAAACCAGAATCTTTCCTGACGGCACTTCCTGATCTAAACAGTCGAAGGCTTCTTACTCAGTAAGAGGTGCTATACCACTACAGGCGCAGAGCTCCGAGAGAGGGGCAGCAAGAAGCCACAGAAACTACCGAGGAGGGGACAAAGACAAGGGGTGCAGTTCGAGAAATGCACGTTAAGCCCTCTTTTACTACTCATTGTGTTCGAATGGTGCAGGCTTCAGGCTTAGCAGAGGCCTAAGGAAGGTCATGCTTCAATTTAAAGGCATGGAAGATAGAGATGTATAGGATTCTGAATCAGCAACTAGTTCTTTAACACAGATCTTTGAGAATGACAGGCACAAAGGACAGAGCAGGAAAAGGCTTGCTTTTGTTACTTGTAAGACTTCTGTCCCAAAAACCTACTTTGAATCCTTAGACCTAGTCAGCTATATTCTTTTTGTCTCTTTAGTCTACAGTCTACAATATAAAAAAATATATATATATATACACACACACACATATAGGGTCCTCTTCTTAGTCTCTTTCCCTAGCCTATATCATAATATTAATTGGAGGGCAAGAAGCACTGAGAGCAAAACTGAAGATACAAGGTTTTTCTCCCACAGACCTAAATAAACAGTCTACTCAGTGACTCATTACCCCTGCCTCCACTCTTGTCCTACTAAAGCTGTCCCCTATCTCCCCGAATAAACTTCTAGTCTTATAGTTCCACTCATCTTAACACTATTCCCTCCAGGCATATTCACTCTTCAACAAACAGGTCTTGAGCTTTCTCTACCTCTTGAGTACATTCCAGTCTAAAAATTCTACCTTTTCACCTTCACCAGCCCAGTCTGTAGTTACCTCTCTCTCCTGGCAGCTAGTCTTTGTACCCCTCATCCATCTATGTCATTTATAATTTAGTTATCTTTCACATGGATATAGCTACCCTTCTCTTTCATATACCTATGCCTTTTACATGACTCTAGAGTAGCGTTATGGCTGAGTCAAGTCTCAAAGTTCTATTATGGAGAAGAGATTCAATAAAATTAGAACACCTACTAAATATAAGGCACTATGCTAGATGGGCACCTGGAGAGTGGAGATGGGTGATGATTAAAACAGACCTTGCCCAGATTTTACATAAGATACATACCCTCAAAACAGTATAGTCTCAAACAGGCTTTGAAGGAATCTCTTACCTGAGAACCTGTTGGAGGAAAAGTAATTCCTTCTTCTTTCATAGATTTAATAGTTGCAGATATTAGACTAAACTGAGGGTCCTTTTGAAATTCTTCTGACCACTCCACCATTAAAGACTTCAGTTTTTCACATACCTTAGGATGAGCCTTTTAAAGAAAAAGTAAAGAAGAAGAAAAAACTGTGGTTAAAATTAGTACTTAAATTACTTAATGACAAAGAGAATTATCACCAAAATTTTCTTTAATCATATGAACATCAATAAAAGTCCAGCAATCCCTAGCCTAGATGAGTACTTGATAAATGCCTATTTACATTTTAAGATAATAGTTATTTCTTACAAAATTACCCTTTTTGAACATCAATTTTTAAGTCTTACTGTAATGACAACAAACCTTTTATATTCAGAGGTTAGTTCTTATATGTTTTCTTAGTATTAAGTTAAGCTTTTTATATCAACTGCACTAAAATTCTGGGATTTCTGCCACTAATAGCATGAGAATGGTGCTTCAGAGTTTCCATCTCAAAGAAATCAGTAACAACCACCCTATAGTGAAGACCCCCTCCACCCTGCTCTGAAATAAAGGTCCCCTTTGCTCTCCATCTCTAATGGGAATCAGTACAGAATGGTGGTTAGAGTGGACTCTGGAGTCACAGAAACCTGCATCTGAAGCTCAGCTATGCCACTTAATAGCTGGCATGACCTGGGATAAGTCACTTAACTTCTAAACCTCAGTTTTTGCATCTATAAAATAAGAATGACAAGAGAATCTAATTTCCAAGTGTTGTTAAGAGCATTAAACAAGAGAGTATATGTAAAATGCTTAAAGCAGTGATTGCTAACTAACCATTAGTAAATATTAGCTGTTGTCACTAGCATATATGCTTTGAGGAGAAAAAGTTTTTGGTGCTACAGAGGAAAACATCACATTCTAGAACAGGAAGTTTATTTCATTTCAAAAATGATTTCATTTATAATACAACTTTATTAATGTTATACATATATAGTTAAATGACATAAAGTATATATATTTTTAATAACTTAAATTTCTTTTAAAGATTTACCTTATTTTTTATCACAGCACGTACTTCTGTTGCAAAATCACGGGAACATACTTCTAAATGAAATATCTTTCCACAGTTTGCCACGCAAGCCCCAAGAAGCTATTAATTAAAATAAAAGTCAATATAAATATGTTGAGATGTTATCTTAACTTACTAAAATAAATATACATTTAAAATTTCGATCATATAATAACATAACTTTTACTTACAGTTAATGCCTGCAGAGCAACATGAGGAACCTTATGATTTACCCTTTTCATTATGGCTTTTAGGCAATCTTTTGCTCTAAGAAAAAAATGAAGAAGGTTATTTATTCAAATCAAACATTAAAAATATGAGGTATACTACTACCAAACGACTTTACATTTAAAAATAAAATCCTGCAAACTTTACTTCGTTGTAGGAATAAATCTATAAAATTATTTTCTACAATCTCTTATTCATAGACTTGTAGAAGTTAAAAAAACAACAAACAAAAATGACAACAACAAAAAAGCCCAGCTTGTTGCAAAGGTTGCATATTCCAAAACCAATAGCCAAACCATATCAAAAAGGTCAGTCAATACAAGAGAACTGTATCATATAAAAATATTTTTCATTTGTTCAAGACAGACTTAGCTTTCAGATAGCAAATTCTTATCTTCAAAAAAAAAAAGCAAGCTATATAGTTTTAAAAGGTTTCAGTATAAACATGCATAAATGCACTTTGAAAAGCTGTAATGTTAAAACAAATGCATTCATCAGTCTTCTAAGCTTTTAAAGTATAATCAGTTCAGCTTAATTGCTGAAAGCACCCTTTTTTAATATTCACTTTTTTCATTATGGTGTTATTTACCTATTCATTACTGAAAGATTTTTCAGCATATTACCTATTATATTTACCTACTGCATTATTAAAAGACTCCCATACATGTCTAAGTTCCAAGAGAATTTCCTAAACAATTAGTCTCTATTATGTGAAGGCTTTATGTATTTTAATTTATCTCAGGTTTTCAGTTGAACTCTTTTCCATTTGTTTTCAGGATAAGGTTAATCCCAAAAATCCTACCACTACAATCTATTTTTTATTCCCCCCAAAGTAAATAATAAAATCCCATTTCCTTTTCAAATTTACATCAAGGAAAAAGACACAGGTTATTAAGTCCTTAGGCATTTACTGAGCATGACTGGGCATCTTACCCATTAGGAGTGCTTCCAACTTTGTCACATATGTCCATAATAAGACTCCAATCTTCCGTAGTGTTGTATTCATTTGTGGCTTTTTCTATAAGATATTAGCATACACAAAAATTAGGACGTGCCTTATGTAACACTAAAATACCAAGAAAGACACAAAAGAAGCCATACCTTTACTTTTGCCAAATATAAAAGAACTATGAAAAAACTTCATTTTTTTCCTTCATAAAGAAGAGTACTTTTAAATTGTATTATTAAATGAATTAAATATTATAAGGTACACCAGTAAAATGTCTTCTAAATACAGTTAATAATAAATAAATTGCAACTTATCAAGAATCCTATCACATTCTAATTTGGAAGAGAGCCTTAAAAATGTGCCATCATATAAGGAATTATGAATTAAACTATTCACTGAATCATTGCTTTTAAGAACAAAAGGAAAAATGGATTAATAAAAAGACAGTAAGTTCATACAATGGAAAGCAAAAATGAGTTATACAGAACTAAATGTACAAAAATGTGTAAATCTCAAAATATAATGATTTGTTTTGGCTTATGCTGAATTTAAAAAGCTAATTGAATATATAACACAAGAACTTTTTAAACAGCTTTATTGAAATATAATTCACATTCCAATACAATTCGCCCATTTAAAGTGCACAATTCAACGTTTTTAGTATCGAGACTTGTGCAACTATCACTGCTATCTAATTTTAGAACATTTTCATTACCCTGAAAAGAAATCCATACCCACTGACAGTCAGCGTAGAATAGATAGAAACCGACCTGGACAGTCTCCCCACCATCTTGTCCACCCTGGACATCCACTTATCTACTTTGTGTCTCAATAGGTTTCTATACTGGACTTTTCATGTAAATAGAATCATGCAACATATGATCTTTCATGACTAGCTTCTTTTATTTAGCATAAGTTTTCAAGGTTTATCCATGCTGAAGCACGTATCAGTACTTCATTTCTTTTTATTGCTGAATATTATTCCATTGTATAGATATACCTCATTTTATTTTGCTACCAGCTGATGAACATTTCAGTATTTTTTTAAATTTTTTGGTTCATATAAATAATGCAATGCTGCTATGAATACTTGTGTAAAAATTTTTGCATGGATGTATGTTTTCATATCTCTTTGGTATATAACTAGTCTCACAGTAACTCTATTTAAATTTTTTTAGGATCTGGCAGTTTTCCAAAGCATCTGTACCACTTTACATTTCCACCAACAATATGTGAATATTTCACATAAAGTTTTAAAACACTTAAAAAATACACTGTATTCTGAAATTAAGTATACAGGTATAAAAATATTAGCACATGCATGACAGTAATAAACATCAAACTGGAGGTGGATGGATGATCAAAGTGGAGTCAACATGAACTTAACTGTCATTATTAAGTTTTGTTTCTTAAGTTCTAAAGTACGTACCCAGAAATTAGTTTTATTCTCAGTATCTTTTTGTGGCCTGAAATAATTTATGATCAAAATAAAAATTTTAAAGTAAATTTTTAAAGAGCATGATCAGAATATATAGTGACTGAATTATGTAACATTTTTACTTTTACAAAGTTTCAATATTGAGAGAAGCAATTTTTTCTCTCTGCTAGTACAGGGAATGAGGATATAAAAAATTACCACGTTAGAAACTTTTCATGTCTTTCCCCCTTTATATACTATAATTTCAAATACAGCCAAACCTAGGTATTATATACATATAAGCTTATCCCAGTGAAAAGCAGGAAGGATGGTAGGAATCTAAAGTTGTTCCTTTTTAAAAGGCAATGAATAATAAAAGAAGCGAAAACATAAAAAGTATAAAACAAACAGCTATACTTGGAAAGTAGGAAAGAGAAACACAGAATCCAGTTTACCTCAGTTAAATGCTGGGACTCACTTTTAAAAGCCATGCAAACTGCCAAACACTATGGATAGAAAGTAATTATTTTGACATATATGATGAAATGACAAGCCAGAGGTTTTAGAAAAGTAATTTATTTTTGCCTCATAAATTCTAGAAGCAAGCACCAAGCTATGTAGGCAGAAACATACCTACTCAGGTACAGCTTCTTCCCTTATACAAAGATGACTGATTTTTCTACCTGTAAAGTCAGACCAGGATATATTTTTTCAGAGGTTTATAATGCTTAACTAATTCTTTTTTTAAAAAATAAATAAATAGGTTTTTAATGATTTCAGAGGAATGGGGAGAGAGATAGAAACATCAATAATGAGAGAGAATCCATTGATCAGCTGCCTCCTGCACACCCTCTACTGGGGATGGAGCCCACAACCAGGGCATGTGCCCTGACCAGGAATCGAACCGTGACCTCCTGGTTCATAGGTCAATGCTCAACCACTGAGCCACACAAGCCAGGCCTTAACTATTTCTTGATAACATATCTAAGAAATTCAGTGAATTCAAAAGGACAAGAAAAAATCTTCGAATTCTACCAACCTCTTTGAAAATTATGATACATATTTTCCCAGACTTTCTTCTATACATGTATATTGAAAAAAAAAAATATATGAGTAAACTAAATAAAATAGGATCACAGGTACGAGATGTCCAAAGACAGTACCCAAAAACTGATAACCCCTTCCCCGCCAAAGTTATGAAGAAGTTGAGAAACAAAACAAAGAATAGAATACCGCTGTTATTAGTAATAGAAACTCTAGGTATGCTGGACTAATCGGCTTCCTAATAGTGAACCCCAGAGGTGGGCATGCCTTAGTCCTACACAGGGGCAGACCTCACCTGCTGGGGGAAGCCCCTGCACAACTTACTCCTTTGAGAAATAAATGAGAAATTACTCAAAGGCTGTGGAAAAACTAGATAGCTCCCACATGGACTAAGGGCATCAACAGGGCCAGTAAATTGCAAATTTACCAATCAGAAATATCATTACACCAGGAATGGAGTGAATGAGGAGCAGGGGAAGACTCAAGGTGATGCTAATGGAACTCCCTCTTCAGGAAGAGGAACCTCCAGAGGTAGAGTAAAAGTATTTCCCACTAATTCTGTGATCATATTAAATGTATCATTTCCTAACCTGCATTTCAACTTATCATGAACATCTCTCCATTTTAAATATATATCCATACCAATATTTTTAATAGCTGCATGATGTACCATTATATACAGTGGTCACAGTGCTTATACAATCTAGTGAGAAGGTATCAGCAAACTGTGATTTTAAATCCATCAAGTACCCAGACTCTCTTCTTTGTTACAGTCACTAGTATCTTCATATTGATGCTTAACATAGAAAAAATACAAAGTAATTAAAAGATGTTAGGATTTCACACACAGGCCTTTCCATAGATGTTTCATAGCATAAATACTTTATCTTGTCTACCGTCCATCTCTGCCACCACTTATCTTCCTCCCCCCAACCCTCAGAATTAATGTAGGCTCCATTACGGCAGAAATTTTTTGTTTCATTTTGTTACTATTTTTATTTCAAGTAGATAGAACAGTATCTGGGCACAAAGTAGGTACTCAGTAAATATTTGTTCAATGAATGAATGATGCTGGTTGCTCCTCTATATCCTGTGGTTGTAATGTGGGAAACAATAACAGAGCTTCTGAGTATATGAACTATAAGAGCTTTTATGGTGCCCAATGTGGCCCCAGCGAAGTCTGTGCGAAGTTCTGGACCAGCAAGAGCTTCACCACTGAGCAAACATCCAAGGCGTTGCGTAAGATCAAGCTGCAACAGCAACACCATGAGACAACAAAAGACACTAGTGAGCTTATGAGGTTCCAGTTCTCTTCTTGTTTACTAAAGTAGAATGACAATACCTTTGGGAGTCTCAACAGGGAGACAGGGTAAATGGGGAAGGAAATGCCTCAAAAGACAAAGCAAGACATGGAAACAACCCAAGCGTCATCTCACGGATGACTGGATAAAGATGTGGAGCATATACAGAATACTACTCAGCCATAAAAATGAAACATTGCCATTTGTGATAACGTGGATGGATCTTAAGGGTATTTTGCTAAGTGAAATAAGTCAGATGGAAAAGAACAAGAACTGCATGATTTCAGCCACATATGGGATATAAAACAAAAAGCAACAAACAAAATAAACAAAAAAAAACCTCATACAGACAACAGAAAGGTGGTTACCAAGGGGAAGGCGCAGGGAGGACAAAGAAGGTAAAGGGTCAAGTACAAGTGACGAAAGGAGACAGACTTTGGATGGTGAGCACACAATAGAGCCGTGATTTTCCACCTTTCTCATCTCGTGGCACATGAACTAATTACTAAAATTCTGAAGCACACTAAAAAATATATTTTTCGCCAATCTGACCAAAAAATAGGTATAATTTTGATTCATTCACACTGGATGGCCATTGTTGTGTTGGCTGCTGTCATTTTTTTATTTGACAATCTAAGGGAAAAGGGGTCAGTGCCCCGGACTAAATAGCAGGTATTGCATGTTTTAAAATTTTTTGCAGCACACGAGTTGAAAATTGCTGTAGTTGAGTATACAGATGTTGTATTATAAAGTTGTAGACCTGAAATTGATATGTTATTAACCAATATTACCCCAATAAATTTAATTTAAAAAATAAAAAAGACCCCAGAGAGCTACCTCAGAGCCACTTCAGCTGTGTGAGGACACAGCAAGATGATGCCCATCTATGAATCAGAAAGTTGGCTCTCACCAGACATCAAATCTACCAGCACCTTGATCTTGGACTTCTCAGCCTTCTGACTGTGAGAAATAAATTTTGTTGCTTATTTAAAAAAAAAAAAAAGGAGGGAGGGAGGGAAAGAACTTCTAGTACAATGATACATACATAGGTGACTAACTTTATGTCTTGAGTCTGAAGAGCAAATCACATATATTACATATGACTTGCCAATTTCATGCTCATCTTTTCTCTTTGCTTATGACGGGGTTTTGTTTTTGCTATACAGGTCTATCACTTTTTTTAATAGTATCTTTCAGCAGTGTTTAGAACTACCTGAAGATTAAATATTCCCCATGTTCTCTTTTGTGTACATATTATTTCTCTTTTATGGGTAAATCTTTAGTCTACTCTGGGATTTCATTTAGCA